GTGTGCGTGTGCGTGTGCGTGTGCGTGTGCGTGTGCGTGTGCGTGTGTGTGTGTGTGTGTGTGTATTGTATCGCGGCCAACAATATTTTGTTGCGTCAGAGAACTCCAATGAAGAAGACAAAAATGAAAGAAATAAGATCCTTACGTTTGCCAGACTTCAATTTAGCAATTTAAATCTTTTGTACTTCGGGAGTACCCTCTTATATCGATATAATTGTTCACTCTAGGCCCAAATTGGGCATAATTCTTTTAATTAAAAAAGTATTATTATAAAATAATTTTTTAATTAAGGAGCACGTTTCTTGCCTTTGGTTAATTTTTTAATTGGACAAGCACGTTATAATTTGCAGATTATCTCACCCAATCCTTTTACTGCAGTAATAAATATTAATAATTTCAAAAGTCTATAATAATACAATTTTTTAATTATTAAGGCAAGTTTTTTCCTCTGATTAATTTTTTAATTAAGGAGGCACGTGTTTTCTACAGACCTTACCCAATCCTTTTACTGCCATGCTGTTTCACTAGATATTGTGATGTGGATAGAAATTGAACGTTCGCTGTTTTACTTATGCAAGTGAAGATGGCCAAAAGTTTATTCCAAAATGTCTAAATTCATACACGCAATGATAATTGCTGTTAATTAATTTGTTAAAAAATTACTACGCAATAACTACCGCGCTGATTCCTGTAAATCATTTATTCTTAATTATATGTCAAATGTGAATAATTGAAAATCTGTTAATTTATTATTTTTAGTTTCAATCACAAATATTTATTAATACCGGGATATCACAGATGTTATAAGCGCCGCGATGAGAAAATTAAAACCTTAAAATATAATGATACTTCTAGGCTTTTGTTAGAAACACTTATTTCACGTTTCCTGAAAGAATCGTTCTGAATGTTTCAAATATGTTACTCCGATGATACATTTTAAAACCTATTCGCGATTATTGTAAATATATCTGGATTCTTCAAAATTGTTTCGCTTCTATAAAGTAAAGCTTGCTTATTTCTCGTTAGCTCTCAAAGTCGCTCAAAGCATTTAAATATATGTGAACGTTGTTGTATCTTGCATTCTGCTAAGTGTACGTTGCACTAAACGGAAAGTTAAGTATCTGCCCGGTAGTGGTACAATTTTCGTTGTTTCGTGTATCAAATTAACGGTGTGCTATTTTGAGTGAGAGTGTGTCACTGAAGCGAATCATTCGCATTTCACGTAATGAAATACGTAGAATAGTATGAGCAGTAACAGGGAGAAGCCGTCGGGAAACGAGAACGACAAGAAGAATTCTTCCAGCAAAGAGAACAACCCATCGGATGATAACGAAGATGGTGGTTTAGCCAAGACGGGAAGCAATGGCGGTGCGACCACGGAAGAATCGTCGCAGCCCGGAAGTAAACGTTGCTCTGTGGGCGCGACCGTCAAAGAAGAAGTCCAGAAGCTACTGAGCCTAGCGGCACGCAGGGAATGGGCCGTCGTGGACCAGCTGCTGAAGTCTTTGGAGAAGATTGTGCAGAGCGCTGGCGAGGATGGCTTCATCGTACCGCTCGCCGGTGTTTTGGACATGGTTAATTTCCATGAAAATTTAAAAATCTTAGTCTCTCTCAAAGATCTTCCGCATATCATTCACATAACTATGTCGAAGAGACCGAAGAATATCTGTCACGAAAGAAATCAATCAGATTTTTAGAAATAATTGTAAAAGCATGTAATGTTTTAAATGAATAAAATGAATCTTTGTCATAAAAATGTCTACTCGCGGGAGACTTTAACAAGAAGTTTTAAATAGACGCGAGACGTCAAACAATTATAAAAAGATCGCACGACAAATTTATTTTTCTATACAAAAATTTTTTTATTTGCAGACGACGGGGATGACGCCGTTGATGTACGCAGTGGAGGACAACCGTAGCGAGCTCGGATCCGACGTGAATGCCAGAAA